ATGCTACAATCAGTCCTGAGTGCAAAATGTACTGTGCACTGGTAGAACAGTGCTTGTGGCTGTGCCCAACCATTGACTGGTAATTTGGGGACAATGCCACAAGAGGGCGCCAGGGCCTGGCACTGCCTGAATGACATGGGCATTGGAAGCTGGGTAAGGCAGAGACCAGAGTTGGAACCAAATGGTCATTAAAAAAAATCTATGAAATGATTCCTAATGTTATTCTTCTATACTCTTAAATCGCTTCCTAACCCAATTGGCATCAGAGACGCATCTCCCAGCAGCTGATGGAAATAGATTCAGAGACCTCCAGCCAAACATTAGGCAGAATTGAAGAAGGAAAGGGGAGAAGGATTGTTGGAGCCAGAATTCTCCTGTATCTGGAGAAAACAACCCAAAGAATCAGCTCTACAGGGATCATAGGTGTTCACAGAGACTTCAGAGGAAATCACCTAAGTTTGTGCTATGTCTCCTGGAAATAAGTTGTTTTTGTTTAGCTCTGGAGTTTTGTGGGACTCCTAACAATGGGAGTCTGGTTGTCTCTGGTCTTTTCCCTGATCTTGTGACCTTTTTCCTCCTATGAGGTTGCCTCATCTAGCCTTGATATACACCTTTGTGCCTATTCTTATTTCATCTTTTTATCTAATGTTTGTTTAATATCCCTGGGAATTCTGCTTTTTTTGAAGGAAAATAGAGGTGCAATGTTTCAAGGAAAAAAGATAGTTGGGGGATTCTGGGAGGAGTGGAGGTAAGAGAGGATGTGGCCAGATGTATTGCATAAAAGATGAAAACAGCAAAACATTCCACACTCACTGAGGAACACAGATTAGGTTCTCTATATTAAAGAGCATACAAATGGATAGAAAATATATCTGTGTTCATAATGTGGACCACTTTAGAAATACTTTTCAATGCATAAGTGTTTTGCCATCATTTATGTAAATAAAGACTCTCTGTGCCTGGTACCCTTAGGGGCTACGGGAGGATGCTGGTTCCTTGGAACTGAATTTGAATTAGGTGTGGGTTGCCCTGTGGGTTCTGAGTATCAAACCAAGAACCCCTTCAAATGCAACAATTCCTCTTATCCAAATGTCATTCTTTCCATCTCAATGAAATACTTAAATGTTATATTCTCAAATTGGCACATGAACTCAATTTAATGCAGCTAATAATTGGGGACTTTTAAAAGTTGATAAACTCAGGTTAGAATTTATCTAGAAATTCAATGAATGGAAAAACTAAGAAATTGATAGAAATGTGGTATTATAAATTCTGAGTTGTTTATTCTTCTTTAAAATAAGTCTACAGTAATTAAGTCTATGTGAACTCTAGGTATATAGATAGACAGGTACTGAAAGTGACATCATAAAGAGACTGAAAATATATTTATCCACACATGATAGATGATGTTTCTGAGAAAAATATAGAACAAAACAGACAGAGAATGGAGTATACATCACTTTTGTTGTTTTGGTGTTTGGTTTCATTCCTAAATGAATGTTGTAGCAATCCAGTCTTTATGAATATCACTTCTGGAAGCATATTTAATACAATCCTCTATTTTCTAAGATTTCATATAGTAAAGACTATATTCCAATTCATAAAGTGGGATTAATAGTCACATGAGGTTGGTTTAAAAGTGTGATTCTTGTATGTAGACTAGTGGACTTAGGAGCCAGAAAATGTTATGTGAAGTGCTGCAGATACATGAGAGCATCAGCACCCACTGGTGGAATTTCAAGACTCAGCAAAATATTGTGTCTAAGCATCCTTCCCTTTCTCTGACTCTTGTGCTCTGCCTTTTGTGAAAAGAAAAACCAGGAATCCTTTCTGCTGTCATCTTCTCTCAATAATAAGTACTTTTTTAGTACTGGCATTTAGAGTTAATTTCCTCTACATAAAGTACATTGATGGAATATCCAAAGAAATGTTGACTCTTCTGTGTGAGTCCTAACTGGATATACAACTCAGACAACTCACATGGAATTGTAGCACAACTAATAAAGACCCAGTGACAGCTACTCTGGTTCAAGTTGAAGATTAGAAAACCAAAGCAGGCAAGCACTAAAGAGTTCTTTCCTCTACCAATACTCAGACCAAAGGGGCAATCCTGTCTTCAGTGTGACTGCAGACAGAATACATTGCACTCCTATCTCCATCTGCCTTATATTTCTCTCTAGTGCTGGGATTAAAGGCATGCACCCCCACTGCCCAGCTTCTATAGCTTACTAGAGTGGCTGCTGGAATTAAAGATGTGTGCCACCAGGGCCTGGCCTCTATTGCTTACTAATGTGTTTCTCTGTGCACTCTGGTCTTCAGTCAAGATTTATTTGTTAGATCATAAACAAAATATCACCAAACAAAATGACTGTATCTTCTGTAAATGTAGAAAAATAGTTTGACTAGAGAGAAGACTAGTAGTCTATCCTATACATAATTACTCATTATGAGCTATGTTATCAAGTCTGTGATATCTGAGAAATACTTTCAGTAGGTGACTCATCAGGAGGAAATTCTGGGGCAGTCAGGGAACATACTTCTGCTTCTTTGGGGGTTTATGTCATGACTTGTATCACTGCGGGAGGATAATAACGACCCTGTTGACAGTAATATGCTGCAATATCTTCAGCCTGCAGGCTGCTGATCTTGAGAGAAAACTGTGTTCCAGATCCACTGCCACTGAACCTCTGTGGGACACCATCTTCCAAGATGTTTATACCATAGATCAGGAGCTTAGGAGGATTTCCAGGTTTCGGCTGATACCATGATAAACTATAAATCTCCTGACTTGCCCGGCATGTGATGGTGACAGTGTCTCCCACAGATGCAGACAGGGAGGATGGAGACTGGGTCATCTGGATGTCACATCTAGCACCTGAGTTTGGAAAATTTAAAATAAATTTAATACAGTTACCTCCATCAAAAAAATGTTTCAACAGAAACAGTGAAGTACTGACCAGCATGTTTCAACAGAAACAGTGAAGTACTGATCAGACTCAGCTGAATACATTTCCAGTTCCATTTGAAACATTATTTATAGAAATTGAAATTCCATACCTATAAGCCATAGCAGCTGCAACACCAGGAGCTGTATGGGGACCTTCATGTCTGTGCTGTGACTTGTCTGAGACTGACTCCATCACAAATGTGACCCGACTATGAAGAAGGACAGCTGGAGTGATCTGGGCACATGCAAATTAGCAATGGCTGAGCACACCCATAGGACTGGCCAAGTCATGTGACTTATGTGAGGCCTGTGGTCCTCTTTTATATCAGACCAGAGGCAGTTCAGGTTTATTTGTAGGAATTTGAGTCTCTTTGGAAAAAAAGAGCCGCAGCATTCTGAGAGTTGCACTTATTTTGATTTCTGTCATGTTCAAAGTAGAATTCCTCGTTATATTTTGGGCCGTGGCAGAGACTCTCACATATGATATGATTTTAGAAAGTACATAGATCCTTTCATAGGTAAATGTTTTTGATGCCAGATATCTACTTCTTTTTTTCTATTTATTTATGAAATTGTATTTAATAAAGGCATTTTCTCTTCTTTTCCTCCCTTCAAATCCTCTTATTGCTGCTCGTCATCCTTCAAATTCATGGCCGATTTTTCATGCCTTTCTTATTTTATACATACATAAATATACATAATATTTGTGTACACATGATTATTCCTAAATAAAAACATTTAAGATTATTGCTCACAATGTTTCCCACATAAATAAAAGAATTCCCTGTGGTGAAGACATGATTTGAGAGGAAGGACATGATTTCATGTTACTAACACATATTTTAGGTAAACAGTTTTCTTTTACCTATTTATCAAAGCTCAGATACACAAGAACTATTTTTATAAAAACCAGACAAAGACATGAGGTTTCACCCCTTGCATCTGTGCAACTGAATTCTCTTCCTAGATTATGCTTGGATGATATGTTCCTGAGAGGCTTCAGATTATTGGACCTGATTTCTGTCCAAATTATTTTCGTTAAGGAATATGAGTTTTCTCTCATGAATTATTCCTCACATCATTGAATGTAAAATTCTATAAAATTTTCATATGCTATGCATACCATATTCCAAATATTGAAGGACTTTTCTCCATAGGTTTTAGTTAGAAGAATACAAGCTGCATGTTCAGAGAAACCTGTAAGAAATTCATTGTAGAAGATAAACATGGAGAGATACAGGTGAAGTGAGGTCTATGGTATGTCAACATCAGGAGTAAGTTTATGATAGACTTACTGAGAGGTTGAATGGGAGGAATTTTACATTTGTAGACAGTATTAATGTAGTACACAGAGATCAGAGATCATGAAAATGTCATATACTTACAGCCTGAAAATGATGATGGACACAGGGGAGGTATCAGAAACCATAGGTAGGTAGTTACTTTCAGAAACTGCTTGACTTGAAAATCCTTGACATGAATGAATCTGATGTATGTGGTCATAGATTTTACATTGAGGGTTATATCAGAGTCTGCAATAGAGATAAAATCTGTATAC